AAAAAAAAAAAAAAAAAAGAATACATGGGATAGGAAGACACTTTTCTGCTCTAAAGCTATTTTGGAAGCAGAAAGATTATTGGTACCTGTGGCAAAAGATGTATTGGGTATTTGGGGAGGAGATAAACATGTGAAATATTCTATATCTAATAGAAAAACTGGCTTTAAAATAAAAGAAAAAAAAAACAATTCACTAAGACAGTGCTTCTCAAACTTTAGGTGCATCAGAGTCACCTGGAGGGCTGTTAAAATACAGATCGTGCCCCACTTCCCCAGGTTTCTGATTCAGTAGCTCTGAAGGGGCCTGAGAATGTGCATTTCTAACCAGTTCGCAGGTGCTGCTGATGCCTCTGGTCCACAGACCACACTTTTACAACCACCGCACTAAGAGCATCTGCATACAAATTGTGGAGATGCCAGTGGTGAAACAGAGGAACCGTGGGCTGCAATGAGCAGTAGTCATGTCAGCAACCAACAGATGGGCAAAAGGTCAGGGTGACAGCTGTTCCTGCAGGTTTTAAGACAAATTTCAGACAATTTAGTTAGGAGCATATGTCAGTTTTATTACAAACCTGCTGTGGTTGAGGTGAGGATATTGGGGTTGGCCTCTCCAAAGCCAAAGATTTCTCTTTTGATAAGAGACATTACATGACACAAAAGTGATTAGAAAGTCATTAATAGAATATATGCAAAAAGAAAAAATAAGTCTATTTAGAGATCTTGAGATTCTTAAATGATAGTCAGCTGGGTGGATGAGTAGCTTCTAGGAAGTGGCCTCAATATATTAAAACCCATAAGAAAAATGCCTATGCATTTTATCAGGAATGATAATTTCTTCCCAGATGGAGGTTTTGAATCACAACACACAAAAAGTTCTGCCTTAGCCCAAGTTTGAAACTATTTTTGAAATAGAGGACGGCTGGGGATGCATGGTACTGGAGTCATAGGGACTGGCAGATGAATGAAAAGAATGGATATAATCAAGGGGAAACCAGAATTCATGATTTATTACGGGTTTCAAAAATTGTTTGGCTAATACACGGATTTTTTACATATTGAGTTATCATGAGGCATCTGGCCGTGCTGTCCTGGATTTGGGAATTGGTACTGTGGGAAGTCACATAGATGCTGGGGTTAAGTCATTTAGCATTTTGAACTGGTAGAGAGAAAGTTAACATGGTGAAGCCTCCCAGTTTGAGACTGATATTACATTCTTCCATGAAGTTACCAAGGATAGATTATATAAAGAGCAATGTGTGAGTTGCAGATGAGTTTGCTGTGGGCACATGAAGTGTATAGAAATGAACTTGAGGAATGGACCGTTAACAGTGAGTTATCTTAGACACAGGAAAGAGATCTAGGAGTCATTTCAGACCATTGTCTAGAAATGTTCCACAGCAGTGTGGAGCTGCTACTAGGAAATCAGCAAAATGCAGGTAGTTGTATTTTTTCTCTATAGAGCTACAAAATAGATATTAAGTCTGTGGTTCTTTCTCTCCTGTCCTCATCAGCATGCTTCAAGAAAGTCAAAAAAGAAATGTTATGGAAAATTCAACAAATCACACCACCAAACAGTTATTAATTGCCTAATATTTACAAAGCTGCTTATTCAGCAATGGGGAAATCAAAGCTCCCAATGGCTTTGCATAGGTTACAAAGTATTTTCACTGAGAGCAGCTTGTTTAAACCATTTAGCAACCATGGAATGCAGCTATCATAATAAAGTATTCATTGCAAATCAGGGAAATGGGAAGGAAGTGCTTCTCTGGACTTCTGTCAAAGCTAGATTTTAGCTATTTGCATTTTGTCTTACAGGAGACATTATTTTAAAAGACATAGAAGTTATAAGTAGAGATTTTTAAAAATTATAAAAGCTGTAGAACAGGGGTCAAAAACTATTTCTGAAAAGGGCCAAATAATAAATACATTGTTTAGGATTTTCAAGCCATATGTTCTCTGTCATAACTATTCATTTCTGCCATGGGGCAGAGCAAAAATGAATGAGCGTGGCCATGTTTTAATAAAACTTTATTTACAAAACCAGGCTATAGGCAGATTTGGCTTGCAAACCATAGTCTACTCACCCGTTGCTGTAGAGAATGGCTAGCGTGAAGCATCATGCTACTTAGCATGCATGCAGGGAGCCTTTGAATCTCACTAGCCCCAAGAAGAGATTATCAACAAAAAGAAACACAAATCTATGGTTGCTTAATCCTTATTGAGGCAAATGAAAGACATGTGAAGCACATTTTCAAACTGTGTTTTTCTCTTCTCAAAGGATGGGTCTCACTGTGTTTGAATCTAGATACTTAGTGACTCCAAGGCAAAAGTGTTTTATTCTCCGAAGAATGTCCTCTAGCGGCCTTTTGTTTTCGAATAGCAAGCTTCCCAATTGCACATTAAATTATACAGCTGAGGTATAGACTTTCTTCTAAGCCCTGATCTTAGCTGTTGGCACAAATTCTGCCCTTTTTATTTCCATTTGACCTTTTGACGCAACTCCTTCATTTATCTCCTAAACAGATGTTGCAGTCAGGTACCTTATGCCTAGCTCCAAAGATTGGCATATGGCTCCATCCAACCCATTGTCACCTTGCGCACGAATCTGCAGCCAGCGAAGCTGGAGTGAGGAGCTCTCTGGCAGGCAGCCGAGGCCCTTGGGATTCAGCACCACGTCTTCTATAATGCGGGGAGGCTCCAGGGAAGAAGAGGAAAGGCAGCCAAGAGGAGTCTGCCAATTCCTGGGTTTCACAGGGCTCCTCCTGGGAGTCCTTTTGTTTCCTTTCCTGCTTCTAACTTGAATTGATGGAGGAAAGAGAAAGAAGTGCCCCTGAATAGAGGCTCTCACTTTTGCCTTCTAACTTTGTTCCATAGGAAACGGGCCACCCACAGCATTGGCAAAAGGAAAGGCAGCCAGAAGGACCTCCGACCCCCTGATCTTTGGATCCATCATGAAGAAATGGAGATGAAAAATATTGAGAAGCCATCAGGCACTGACCCCACAGGAAGGGACTCTCCCATTCAAAGTTGCCAAGATCTCACACCAGTCAGCCACAGCCAGTCAGAAACCCAACTGGGGAGCAAAAGCACCTCTCATTCAGGTAATTATCTGCTCCCTGGCATCAGGGAACACACCACTCTGAGCCCCACAAGAGAGTTTTCCACTCCTTGTTCTGCAGTGGTATCTTTCTCACCAACTTGAATGTTGATATGAGTCATTTATCAATAGTTAAAATAATCCAATGTATATTCGATTGATTAACCAGCTAAATGTCCTTCTCTGTTATCCTATTACCTGCCTTTTATAATTTTAATTATTCTTGAAACTGCTAAGAGTTTAAAAGTAATACAGTTGGGAAATATTAAAATGTGAAACCTAAATGAATTGATTGCTTTTTGTTAAATCTTAAGCAAAAATTTTTTTCAAGGCAATACAATTTGAAGCCAATATATTTTTTAGTTCCCTATTTCTATAGATAATTGAAAGATGATTCTAAATCTGCTATTAGTTCTTTATGTTAAAAAATCAGATAAGGAACACTTGAAGTATAAAAAAAATCAAATATTGGGTTACTTTGATTACCATCAAAATCAACCGTTGTTGGCCGGGTGCGGTGGCTCACGCCTGTAATTCTAGCACTCTGGAAGGCCGAGGTGGGTGGATTGTTTGAGCTCAGGAGTTCGAAACCAGCCTGAGCAAGAGCGAGACCCCGTCTCTACTAAAAATA